ATGGTGAAAGATGAGAATATATCCATTCAGGAAGTCCAACAAATCCCAAAAAGGACATACCCCAAAAGAAAATCATCCAGACATATCATCATCAAACTCACCAAAACCAAAGACAAAGAAAGAATCATGAGAGCAGCATGGGAAAAACAAAAAGTTACCTACAAGGGGCAACCAAAAAGACTAAGCTCAGATTCCTCAGCAGAAACCATGCAGGTGAGAAGACAATGGGATGGTATATATAAAACTCTGAAAGAGAAAAATTTGCAACCAAGAATTAGGTACCCAGTAAAATTGTCTCTCAAATATAATGGTGAAATAAGGACATTTCCAGATAAGCAGAAATTAAGGGAATTTATTAAAACCAGACCACGCTTACAAGAAATGCTAAAGGGAGTCCTTTGGATAGAGAAGCAACAATAGCCAACAACAACTGACCATTAACACACATGATAATATATCCCAGAAACCAACCCGGCTATGGAAGGATCCAAAGTAAATAAGCCTACAAGATTGTAAATAGGGAACCAGAGACATCAATTGACAAATGAGAACAACTACAACCATAAAGAGGGAATAAACTGTGTCGTCACAGAACTTCCAGATGGTAGGGATGTCAAGACAACTGCAAGATAGAATGGACTCTTCTAAACTTGGGAAGAAAACGATAAATCACAGGGTTACAGGGTAACCTCAAAGAAAAATGATAAACCTTCACATCAAAATAAAAAAGAGAACCAGCATAAATATTTAGCAAATACTAAAACAATAGCAACGAAGGAAGTGATAACATGATTCATAAACAAAATGAGCTCAGCATAGAAAATTATATGGAACAAAGAAATCGACACCACGAAAAAGCACATAACAAAAATGACAGCAACAAATTCATATTTTCCAATAATTACATATCTGGCAAGAGACTTATCACTAAGATTTATAGAAAACTCCGACACCTCAACACCAAAAGAATTAACAATCCAGTTGAAAAATGGGCAGAAGACATGAATAGACACTTCACCAAGGAGAATATTCAGGTGGCCAGCTAAAACATGAACAGATGCTCACAATCCTTGGCCATCAGAAAGACACAAATCAAAACAACAATGAGGTACCATCTCACCCCCACTGGTGGCAAGGTTCAATGAGACAGAAAATAACAAAAGTTGTGGGGATGTGGAGAAATTGGGACTCTCATACACTGCTTGTGGGATTGCAAAGTGATCCACTGTGGAAAGCAATAAGGCGATTCCTTGGAAAGCTAAGCTGGAATTGGAGATACCACTTGACCCAGCAATCCCATTACTAGGTGTATATCCTAGAGAGGTGAGAGCCAGGACAGGAACAGATATATGCACACCCATGTTCCTCACAGCACTATTTATAATAGCAAAAATATGGAAACAACCTACGTGCCCATCAGTGGAAGAGGGGATGACCAAACTATGGAACATACACACAATGGAACGCTATGCAGCACTAAAGAAGTCTGCAAAACACCACATAATATGGATGAACTTGGAGGACACAACAGCCACAACTACCTAGCTCTACCTTTGCAGTACAAAAAGTAGTCACAAAAGACAAACAGAAATGAGCATGACTGTGTTCCAATGAAATTTTATTTATAGACACAGAAATTTTACTTTAATGTGATTGTTATGTGTCATCAAGTATTACTTTTTCAATCACTTAAAAATATAAAAATAATTCTTAATCATGAATTGTATATAAACAGGTAGTGGGTCAGAAATGACTTCTTGGCCGTATTTTGCCAACCCCTGTTTTAAGCGTATTGATAAAAGCACTAAACTAATGAGGCTAAGGTTAAATATTTTATCCTCCATAAAAGATAGTTTACTTTATACAGTGAAAGCTCCTGTTTTGTTTTGTTTTTGGCACTGGGTTGCTTTTCTACCTTCCCCGACTAATGTTTTGCAAATTTGTAAGAGATTACAAGGGCAAAGATGACTCAGTGCAATTCATACAAATGTGTGTGGCCCTTTCACAAATGTTAGTAGCTTTATTTTCAAGTACATTTCTATTATAGTCTAGGAACAATATTTTTAAATGTACCCATTTTAAGTTTGGGACTGAGAAATGGCACAATACACTTGTCATGCTGTCTAATATGTTGTAGGCACTCAGTGATTATTATAGCAATTAGCATTCAAAGTCAATATGTTACATAAGAACCTGTGGTGTAGTAAATTACTTAGTGTGGCTTTTCTACCCATAAGTCTTTGTAAACTTCAAGGTGGAATTTGCCATGAGCCACTGAGGAGCTTCTGGTTGCTAAAGTTGCCCACCTGGGGTGTTTCTATTGGGAGTGGCACAAAACAATGTTCTGGGAGGTTCCTGCTCTCTCTCAGGTGGTGAGAATTCTGATGTTATGATTGGTTGGTTTGGCTACTCTACCGAGCTCAAAAGGAGGCCTCCTAGAGGCAGAACTCTCTCCAACTGCTGGCTGAGGAAGACATGCTGCTGAAAGAGACAGGCGCTCCTGAGAGACACGTGCTGCTGGGAAAGACGCAGGAGACACGCATTGCTGAGTGAGACACCGAGGGATACGCACTGCTGCGAGAGAGACTATGAGAGACTTGGTTGAAAGACAGTGGGCTGGGAGAGAGACTGAGCATTTTTCCTGAACTTGAATTGTAGCCTGTGGTGCTTCCCTAATAAACCCCATAATCTGTGAGTTCTGTGTAGCCACTGCAGTGAATTATCGAACCCAGGAGAGAGGTGGTGGGTGCTTTGGGAGGAAGGGCTGGAGGGAGGCAGCAGGTCTGGCCTTGCAGTAATAGGCCTTGGGCTATTGATGGTGACAGTCTTCTTTTGTGGGGTTAGAGGAGGTCAGAACATGTGGCCTCCTTGCCCCTTTAGCAGAACCTCTGAATTTAGCTCAATAATCCCAACCAAAACCAAACTCACTGTCATCAAGGCCATCCCCACTCATAGCGAATCTTCCTTGGGTTTCTGAGGCAGGATCTGTACAGAAGTAGATTGCCTAATCTTCCTTCCGAGAAGTGGCTGGTGGCTTTGAACCACCAGCCTTCTGGTTAGCAGTCAAATGCCTTAGGCTCTATGCCACCAGAGCTCCTAGCTCAATATTAGCTTGCTCTTAATTCTTCATAAGGTTTTCCCTGGCCAATTCTTTCAGAAGTGGACGGCCTCTTCCTTCTTCCTAGTCTGTCTCAGTCTACAAGCT